ACCTCCCACCGTTCCACCGGCGCTGAATCCGGGTGATAAAAGCCGCGAATCCCAGTCGAAATGGACCGGGAAACGACCCGTGCCTCGTAAACGGTTCAGCGGTAACTCCATCTCGTTCTTCTTATAGCGACTATTTCCGCCTTTTCCAAATATTACGCATAGTATTTCCCACCATTTTGTTCCCTACTTTTGCCGGTCGATCAGCTGCTTTTCAAAACGCTTTTTTCCTGCTAGAGAGAAAACAGCTACCAACCATTCGCACCGCAGTACCCTCCCGGGAGTAGCTAGCGCACATGGTGACCAATTTTTTCCAAAGACTATGATAGGTTTGCCGCTAATGACGTCAGAGTGACGTCATTTTTGCCATTTTCGACCCAAAAAAAAGGTTTCGCGGGAAGAGCTGTCAGGCCTACAGCTTTAGAGATACAGAAAAATATTTCAGACATAAAAGGTGTGGAATTATAAGAGCTACAAAACTGCTATTTCGGTTTTTCGAATTTTTTGGATTTTGACCCCCAAAAATAAAAAAATAGATTTTTTTTTAAATATAATAGCCAAAAAATCCAAAACGTTTTTAGAATTTCGAAAAAAAACGGAATATATGTGATAGTCCTTACCTCCTTCTATTTACATACCAAATTTGAGATCGATATCTTTTTTTTTGGCCAAGTTATAGCGAAAAAAACTGTTCAAAATTGATGACGTCAAATTTTCAAACTCAACTTTTAGCAATTCTAGACCTCGTAGCGCAAAACAAAGACCACCATTAGACTCCCCGTGACGAGCTGCATCGAATCAATACCCATTTTATTCAAAAATATCAACTTTGAAATTTGACCTTTTTGACCTGACCTTGACCTGACCTCCACCAGCAAGTGGCCTAAACCGTACCTGATGGTCTTATAACCAACACCATTGAGTTGGAAATGAAAAACTGGCCATAAAACATGCATCGCATAACCTTAGTAAAGTTGGGCTCATGTGGTGACCCTTGGTGACCTTTGGTGACCTGACCTGTGACCTGACCTGGTATGACCAGTGACCTCTAATAGCAACATATGTACTAGACAACTGACGCCTTATCGCTGATTTTCGACAAAATGCGTTTTACTCGGTGTTATAGCGCTTTCCCAAGAAGCCCCGTGAACGGTGAAACATTTTATCTTTGACCTGACCTGTGACGTCATCGGTGACCCCGAGGTCAATGAAATTTGGTTTACATCGACAAATTTGACAGGGCTATCGAATGCCGTTTGAATTTTCCGGATCCGTCCAGTAGTTTCGGAGATACGGGGGGGGGGGCAAAACAATGCCCCCCCCCCCCCACCGCGCGGAAGGTGCTGGTAGGCTCACCGCCTGCCGGGCGTTTCAATGAAATTACGCAATTCGCTGATTAGTCAATCATCTCAAGAAGCTCTGACGCAAGCTCTTCTAGCCTGGTTGGCTAATTCACCCGCAAATCTTACTCAGTACTCTTACCACTGTCTGGAAACTGAGCAAGCATTGAGGCTACGGAGGAAAACGGGAATGTATTTAGTTGTGCTTCAATTATGTCGCTATCTCTTACATATGTTCAACCAAAATGTGAAACCTGGGCAATGACCATCTTCATATCAAGCAAGGCGGCTTTCTTTCATCTCGCAAGTTTCGTCATTAGCTTGCCTGCACGGTCGGCCGTCCAATCCAATCATACGTGCCGGCCTTCACGGTTCATACTCCACCGCACAGTGCGTCCACGTGTCTCCCGAAATGCGGCACGTGCCTGGCAGTGCAGACTGCAGCGACCTGAGAGCAAATTTCAACGTTACGTGTTGAACGCGATGGCTCTACTGTGATGGCCAACAGGCTGTCGCTAATTCAGTTAACGCGTAATCAATCAACTGAGCAATCAATATTCAAATAGGCGATCTCAGAGCTGGGGACAGAAGAACAGTAGTTAGAGGGAGAGAGAGAGAGAGAGAGAGAGAGAGAGAGAGAGAGAGAGAGAGAGAGAGAGAGAGAGAGAGAGGGAGAGAGAGAGAGAGAGAGAGAGAGAGACAGACAGACAGACAGACAGACAGACAGACAGACAGACAGACAGACGGAGACGGAGACGGAGACGGAGACGGAGACGGAGACGGAGACGGAGACGGAGACGGAGACGGAGACGGAGACGGAGACGGAGACAGAGACAGAGACAGAGACAGAGACAGAGACAGAGACAGAGACAGAGACAGAGACAGAGACAGAGACAGAGACAGAGACAGAGACAGAGACAGAGACAGAGACAGAGAGAAAGAGAGCAAGAGAGGAAGAGAGAGAGAGGAGAGAGAGAGGAGAGAGAGAGAGAGAGAGAGGAGAGAGACAGACAGACAGACATACAGACAGACAGACAGACAGACAGATAGACAGATAGGCAGCTAATAGAAAGATAATAGCGGCTAAGGGAATGATAAGAAGGGCAGAACGAGATAAGAGTAGTTAAATCAGATGATTTATTTGTTGATACTTATAGTCGTAACAGCCGCATTAACTTTGGATCGTAAAATTGTGCTTGTTTCGACTTTCGTACTTGAATAGCACAACTAGCACAATTGTGCATTATGCAATATGCATTGCGTTCTACACAAGATATTATCTGGAAATCCAGGCAGAAAACTTCTTGCTATTCTGGGAAAGGTACTCACAAATTGATAAGCGACAGAGTTTTGAACTCAGAACAAAGTTGGGGAGCGAGCTGGAAAATCAGTATCACATTTGAGCCGGCCGCTCGCGGTCCAAACGTAAACGCTGGGCACGAATGTCGCCGAATCGATACCACCAGTATTGGAGGGAGCGGCCAGTCAGCGGCTGCCTAGAATCGGCATCGGAAAATGGAATATCTGGTTCCACTGGCAGTGTCCTGCGTCGCCAAAGAAATTCCATTTTGCAATGGTCTAAATTTAAAAAAGAAAATGCGAGTGAAGAAATACTTTTCACAATAATTATGATATTAGTTACGCACTAACTGTATCTCTATCTATGTATGTGTTTTGACAGGAGTGAAAAGCTTATGGGAGCACACATTTTTAAACGAAAAGAGATAGAGAAAGAAAGGAGAGAGATAGATAGAGAGAGAGAGAGAGAGAGAGAGAGAGAGAGAGAGAGAGGGGAGAGAGAGAGAGAGAGGGGGATAAAGAGAAAGAGAGAGCGAGAGAATGTTCAGGTTTTAGTTCGCGCTTATATTTTAATGTAAGATGATTACATACATTTGTAGCATCATTTGTAGGGATGCAATATTCGCCAGCAAATCGAAATGCCTTTAGTTTCCCTAGGAACTTCAGTGCAGCCGGCCACCGTAGTATGCCGAAGCTCATCGAAAACTTTCACCTCATGTTAGCATATTTTAATGAGATTCGTTTAATGTGCAAATGACTCTACTATGGAAGCGATAGAAGTGCCAGCCCTACTATGCCTCCGGAATAAAATCATTCAGACTTAATGGAATTTGCCTACTGAATAACATTAGCGAAAACTTAACTAACTAGTGGGGTTATGAAAATAAACCCGTAGTGAACTTCACTAAATTTATTAGGGCTTCTGATCAACTATTGGTTGATGTCGTTCATAGGAACAGGCTGGATAGAACAATGCTGCGAGAAAAACTTTATTCATACGCGGTACTCCCGGTTCATTGGATACACAACACATGACAATCACGGCTAACCATTATTCCCGATTGACCCGTTATGCATGTCTCTATGTAACTCAACAATCCGACAGGCCAGTCACATAATCACATTACTGCGAGGGGTCGGTCGGGACCGTGCTCTCTGGATGTCCGACCGTCCCGGCAGGACCGGCCGTGCTGACAACCTCTGCTCTGACCGATATTGAACAAGCCGGTGGCACTAGCTCGTCCCGGATTGAAACAGCAACGCCACACAACGGTGGCCGTCCATCACGTTCACGACACTGGCCGCTCGACACATGTCACCATCGATGGGAATTTAATTAAAATGGAGAGTGGGCCTCGAAAACAAAGCTCCGAACAATGTTAGCTGAACGGTGAAGTGTGATCCCAAAGTAGCCATTGAGATGTGGATGTTTATCTTGAACTTCGAACTGGAGAAATAAATGTTGTAAATGTTATGCTGCGATCTCATAAATCGTTACCAACAAACGGAATTGATGAGCATACGTAGACAGGCAAAATTATTCTGCATGATCTTCTTACTTCTTTACAGACAATTGATAGTTGTAGCATACTAAGCCGCAAAAGCTTTCAGAGGCAATGAAGCATGCGCGATCAAACGTCCACAGTGCAAACCAATGTTTGTGAATTGTGACTTATCAACCAAATTTCTTTGAGCTGTCCCATTGCCGTCCGGCATCGGAAAAAAGAAAACATATAAAAATAAAAGCAACTCCATCAGCCTCGTATACCATCTCTCGTAACTTCTGTTCTCCTCTTGAACACACCAAAGTACTCCATTCTGCTGTATCGACCCTGTATTTGCATACTGACAACATGAATGGTTTCCGATGGCGGGGTTACTCGCGGATGGTATTCCTCTACGCATCATTGAAGCTTCGGTACGGCACGATTTCCGTTCATCATATTCGAGTGAATGCACAACAGACGCTGCCTTGTAGCGGGGGTAAATCTCATCAAGCTCCATCAAAGCGTTGACTGGCGGCCCTTGCCCGGGGCGGCTCTCCGTTCAGCCGCTGTCGGCACCGGCTGAATGGCCGCATCATTCATGGTATATGATGTCAGTGCAGGGATTGAGTGGCTTTTAACTGGCCGGAGGAGCCGGCCGGCCGCCGTCGGGTCGTCATCCTGTGCCGGTGCCGATTTCACCATCGATCGCCCCCCGCAGAGCCCAGTTCCGACAATCTGTCTGTCTTTTCAGCGCCGACGCCGCCGTCCCAGCCACTATTAGCCTGATGAGACCTACCGGACCGCCGACCGGGCGACGCAGCCACCAGCGAGCCGGCGCGCCAGGTCACCAGAGGTCACCAGAGGTCAGCCGGCGGTGATGGCGGCCGGTGACCGGTCAGGCCGGGTCACACGACTCTGCGGCGGCGGCCGACTGCTGCTGCTAGCCGCTGTGATGGCTGCGCCCGCCCTGGCTGACGCCTGTCCCGTCTCATGTCACTGCCGCTGGAAGGGTGGCAAAAAGACGGTGGAGTGCGTCGACCGCCAGCTCGAGTCGCTACCGACGACCGCCGATACCGACACCCAGGTACTGGACATCTCAGGTCACGCGCTGACCGAACTGGCGTCGCGCGCCTTTCAGCGGCACGGCCTGCTCGCGCTCCAGCGGATCTACGTGTCCCGTGGAAGACTGGAGAGGGTCGGCCAGCGGGCGCTCAGTGGTCTGACGAATCTGGTGGAGCTGGACCTCAGCGAGAACCGACTCACGGCCGTTCCCGGCGCCGCGCTGCGTGATGTGCCCGCTCTCCGTCGGCTTAGTCTCAGTGGTAACCCTCTGGAGCGAATTCAGCGTGGTGACCTAGGAGCAGTGCGAGAGCTCACCGCGCTGGAACTGGCGCACTGCCAGCTGCGCATCGTGGAGAAGGGTGCCTTCGCCACGCTGCTGAGGTTGGAGAAGCTGCAGCTGCAAGGAAACCAGCTAACCACACTAGCTGCTGTGGACCTATCGCTTCATCTGCACAACGTTCAGCTGCAGAGTAACCTGTGGCACTGCAACTGTCGGCTTCGTGAGCTGCGACGGTGGCTGAGGCAGTACCCAGTACCACTGGCTGTGCCGCCACGCTGCTCTGCCCCTCGTCGCCTCTCTGGCCGCGCCGTGCACAACACCAGCGCTACGGAACTGGCCTGTGCACCCGACATTCTTCCCTCCGACCGGCTGTTCGAGGTGTCTCTGAACAGCAGCGTGACGCTCAGCTGCGCCGCGGAGGCTGATCCTGCCGCCGAACTCTCCTGGTGGTTCAAAGGCCACATACTGAAAGACGACCCTGAAGGCGTGGACGAGCTCGGTGTGGATGGTGGAGGAGCGGTGCGACGCAGTCAGCTAGTGATCGCCAGTGCCGGGGAACACGACCACGGTGTGTTTCGGTGCCGCGCGGCTAACGCTGCCGGCGCCTCGACTGCTGATTTCCGAGTGAGCGTGCTCCTGCCTCCCGACACCCGCAGCTCAGGCACCGCTCCGGCCAGTCGCTCACATCTAGCTCTGCCTGTTGGAGGCTCGCTGGTGCTGCTGGCCGCCAGTGCGCTGCTGCTACTCGGCGCGCTGGCCGTCCGTCGCGGCCGTCGACTTCGACGCAGACGCAAGTTCTCTACCAGCCGAGACTCGGGGAGTGGGGAGAGCGCGGGGTCGCCGACGGGAGGCGGCGGAGGTGTGGGGAGCCGGGCAATGTCGAGGGACACCACACTGACAGACTGCCACGAACATCAGCTGCATGAGCTCCCTCGTCACCCGCCGCACTGTGCTCGAGAGCGGGGTCCGGATGTGTTGTATGACGCTAGTGAAACGGTGACGGCTGTGACTGTAGAGAGAGACCCTCCTCCGCCCATGGAGCCAGTAGTGAGAGCGGTGCAGGACCTCTCCTGGCCACCAGCGTGGACGCTGAACCCCACCATGTCCGCGTCTCATGGGAACATTTATGGTGAGTCACTTCTGCGGAGAAACAGTTTATCTAGTGGTTCATACCATCGTCATGTGTGTGATGGGGCGGGGGCGGATAGACAGGTGCCACTCGGCTGGCGCAGTCTGCCCCGGCCCGCCCGGCCGCGGCCGCCGCCACCCGCCGCCGGTGGCTCGCCCGAACAGTGGCGGCGCTCAATGCTCTCAGTGCCGCAGTATGTCGCCGGTGCGTCACAGTTTGTCGCCGGTGCGCCGCAGCTCGTGGCAGTGGACCCTGCTCGTGTATGTAGCTGTATGTTGGGCCCGTCATTGGAAGGTCGCCTCTGGCAGCTGCCGGCCTGCCACCCTGCCGCCCCACCAGCCTGTCATTCTGCCGCCCCACCAGCCTGTCATTCTGCTGCCCCACCAGCCTGCCATTCTGCCACTCTGCCGGCTGTCCCGGCGCCCCCTCCGCCGCCCTGGCCGGCGCGGACTCACTGTGTCGGCCCGTCTCGGCCGCGATGCCGCTGCCTGGCGCCGGGACCGACCTCGACAGGCCCGCTGGCACCTCCAGCCGGGTTCGGCGACGAACTGCCGGCACCGGCTGCGCTCAAGTGCGGACCGCCGCCGCGGTGGGCGGTCCCCGGCGGTCGCGAACAGCCGGGGGTGGCTCCGTCGGCCGTGTTCGCTGCCAGACTCGTGGCAGCTGAAAAGCCGGCCGACAGCCCCGACGAGGGATATGTCGAGTCTGTGCAGGACACGTGAGGCACGGACCGTCGCCGATGGTGGACTACTGCCACGCGGACTCGTCACGTGTATTCTGTGATTGTGCTAATTTGGGAGGCGGCTACCGATCACTGGAGTGTGAAAATCATGTCGTGTCTGCCACAGTGCTCTAACACAGGCGTGATATTCGTTCTCCGATTGTCGGTCATGCGAGAAGGACGGACATGCGTCGCAGATATGTGATTGGACCGCCCTACCTTTGCTTGTTTCTACAACTCATGAACGGCAGATCGACTGCTGCTGAATAATTACCACAGCCTGTAATGTGAGAAAGTCGTCACGAGTTGTCCTGGTGGCACACTCAGGCTGATCGTCCACCAGCTGAATTTATATAACATTACTCATGCATGAAAAATGTTCATAATTATAAATAGATGTTAACTGTTCACCTGTCAGGTCGTACATTTGCGTTATGGGCCACCAGAGATATATTTGCAGGGCCAAGCAGTTGGAAGGAAATGTCACTGTGAGTTGGAGGCACGTGGTGAGTACGTTATATGGAAGGTGGTTGGCAGATGTCAGATGTGTGTGTATGTTTTTGCATAATAAATTTATTCAACACGTTATTTTCATCAACTGTGCATAACAATGGAGACTAAGCAAGGGGTGGGACAATTGTTGTAACTAATGAACATCCTTTGACGACATAGTGTTCATAAATGCTGCCCGTTTCCAACAAAATCTCTGGCTGACAGCAATCTCCGTCTCTCCGATGCTCGCAGGCTGCGCACCGGCATGGCCGCTCGGATCCGCGGGGTAGTTAGACTAGCCCGCCATGCATTGATGTGCTGCGGTACAGCCTACCCGCGCAGTGGACCCAGGCCGGCTGGGAGGCAGTCGTCCAAATCACCGCTGCTCTGTCCCGTCCACGAATGTGGCGCGTTTGGTGATCTGGCCGACGAGGACATTAGCAGGCAGCGCACATATCATAACTCTACCTGACAGCGGCAGTTTCGGCAAACGTCCCATCGTCAATAACCCGTGAACCATTCACTTTCACGTAGCCTGCGCCAATCACGTCTCGTCGGCAGCCAGTGCCGTCCGCGCCAGTTGATGTTGAGCGAACGTGACCAGAGTGAGCGACACAAATGACGCGCAGAGCAGAACGGATTTCGCTGACGCGATGGTGATCTCATGTGCGCACCTGATGTGTTATATCTATAAAGTCAGCGATTTGTTTCACTCAAATGCACTGAAAGATAGTACCTTAGTTCTGCAAGTGTCAACAAACTGGTTTATTTTTAGTTGACAAAATATGCGCAATTTTAACCCAACGGCCTAATGAAACTAAGAAATTTAGCGCGAAACGTCTGCCAAGTAGGTATGGTAGATGGCGCATATTTTCTAGTAGTAAGCACCGATATGGCTGAAAGAAGCTTTGCTTAACTTTTAATCACATATTTGCTGAAGGAAAATGCATGAGGCCCTCTTAACCCTCGCCCATGTAGGGGGGGGTTGGTGCAACCCCCCCCCCCCTGAGGTTTTTCGGAAATAGTGCAAAAACGGCGGCGCGCAGCGCCGCCAAATTTTGGGTACCTTATGGGGCAAACCTTGCGCATCTTTTGATCAAAAAAATATGACCGGGTCATGTCAGGTCACGGAGTTATGACGTCACAAAGGGAACAGCCTCCGGCCGGATTTTCACAAACTGAGTGCCAACGCCCGAGGTTTCCTGCCGGTGGTACGGACATCGGTTGATGGATCGTGATGAAACTTCCCATGCATGTTGGGGCAAGTATTGGCTATCATATGGTATAAGAAACTTGACCGGGTCAGGTCAGGTCACGGAGCTATGACGTCACAAGAGGAACAGCGTCCGTTACTATTTTTGAAAAGCGCCCGAACCACTATTTTGCTAATTCTTGTCACCTCAATGGGAATATGCAGCAATATTAGCTTCTATAGGGAGCAAATGGACCTTCCAAATCCAAAAATACAATCAGATTTCAAAAATTTAAATTTTGATTTTTCGAATTTCTGCCGCCGACTGTGACCTTGCCGACTTCCGGCGCTCCCAACGCGCCATGTTTAGAGCTAGGGAAACGAAATACATACCAAACGATAGAGAATTGATCAAGGAACACGATTGTGAAGGTTTCAAGTCGATATCTCCAACCGTTTTGCCGCAATCGCCGCGGAAAGTTGAAAAAAGTCTATTTTTCCGAAAATTTGACCTTTGACCGGTCAAAAGTAGGTCAAATGTTGACCTAGGACCAAAAAATATACCACCAATCGCGAGATCTCGGCGAGAGCAATCCGTTGGTCTTTTCCGCTAAGCTCTACGACGCTCCGTTTTCAAACGCCAAGGGGGGGGGGTCGCACCAACCCCCCCCCCCCTGCATGGGCGAAGGTGGCAGATCGCCGTTTACGGGCGAGGGTTAAGCAATCTTTATAGATCAATAAAATTTTAAGAGCATAGGCAGCTTTTGCAATATTGCAGGGGAACTCAGATTTGCATTTTTCAATTAAAAAAAAAACAGATTTAACGAAGAGTGTTTTAACCATTGAACACAAACCTTCGGCTATCGATGCGATACCGCATATATCAGCAATCAGAATCGCTTGAGTTATCATATAATGGTAAGGATTATGCAGTTCACTAACAGAAACGACATCAAATAGCCCGAAAGAAATGGACGTGCTGTTTGAGCGCATATTTTTATCAATCCGACCGAGCTGGCATAAGAGCCCAGTGATCGATAGCTTCTTGGGTATCGGTGTCAGTGGTGAGTGGTTTTTGGAGGGCATCCGGCCAGAGACCTGTAACTTATCAATAACTGAGCAGCAGCTTCTAACTTATAAGCCAGCGTCGAGTGATATAGTGATTGCCTGGCGGTCCACTGTTAGCGCGTCCATCAGCGGAGATGGGAGTGGTAAGACGGCCGAGCAGAGATCAACAAGACCGCCGAGCTCATCAACTCATGGCCGTGGGCTAAAACACCGAACTATTAGTAATTACGTCGTAACAATGACAGGAAAAGACCAACCTGACAGGCAGGCCAATGAGCACAGTTGAAGTACTAATCTACTTATACGCATAGAATTATTAATTATCAAGGTGGCTTTGACCATGATTCCAACTCACCTCAATGGCAGCCAAAGGCCACAGAGGTGCAGCCACTGTCTGCCCAGACCACGTATTCACAGCTCGGAGGTACCGCGTAACGCTCCTCGGTAGCGTTCTGTGCACGTGCTGGCTGGAGTGGTACGGCGCGGGGTCGCCAGACGACCAGAAGCACTCTCAGCCAGGAACGTGCTCCCAGTACAGCGGTGCCGAGCGGCGAGTGACCAGGTCCCTGGAAACGAATAACACCCCTCGACGGGACATTAATGATTTGAGGTGGGTAAGTGAGTGGTACTGGTGGACTGTTCAGCGCCACTGGTGAACAGCTCGAGACTCCAAGGGCACCGCTGTCTAGGCAGAGAATGAAGACAACTAGCGTTAAGTATAGATATAATAATGCCTTTTTGCTTTGAGTACTTGCTTCGACAGATGCGAATATTCTAAGATTATTCTATCGAATAATTGGCTTTGAGAGATAAAGCGATTTAAAGGCTATATTGTCGTACCAAATTAGTTGCAGTGATGTGGAACTTGTTTCACCTTCAAACAGAGCATCTTGCGGCATTCTAAAATCGAGCGTAGTTTCGTGAAGCAATCAGCAAGTGTGGCGATGTCATGAAACTTTAACTAGCTACTGCTGACTTCAAAAGAACGAATAAGGAAGCCCACTGCGCGACTAGCTCTCAGACGATATCAGACGCGCGGCGCAGACGTAAATTTCGTATCTAACGATATGCCCGGGTTGCTCATTTCACTCACAGAGTCCGACTCGACGGCAGCAATGCATACATATCCTGGATGAGAGCATGCTGGAGAGTAAATGTCACCAACTTGCACCTTCGAGGTTTTCCCGGCGGCCCAAGTTGGAATATTTCTCAACACAAGACGATGTTTGAGGTCAACTGGAAGCAAAAATCATTCAAATGGGGAGTTACCAGGGGAGTTCCGATCGTTCCGATTATGAATCTCATATGAGGGGTATGACTTTTTCCTGTTATGAAAAAAACTTCGACTTATGAAAAACTACGACTGGATGAGTACACAATACATTATAAAATCGCACGATTATGTACCTATGCCAGCATCACTTCAATATGCTCAGCCCAATATCGAGAAACAAAAAGAGAGAGAGAGAGAGAGAGAGAGAGAGAGAGAGAGAGAGAGAGAGAGAGAGAGAGAGAGAGAGAGAGAGAGAGAGAGAGAGAGAGAGAGAGAGAGAGAGAGAGAGAGAGAGAGAGAGAGAGAGAGAGAGAGAAAGGAAGAGAAAAAGAGAGGGAGAGATGGTATTACAAACCAGATCTGAGAGTAAAAGGGTGCGGTTTCTTTGTAAACAGTCCGCTCTCAATTCGGTCTAACTTATGTAATGCAGGAGCCAGCTTCGGCTAATGTATCTTGCAAGGCAAAGAAGTTTGTAAAAGACTCTCTGGCACAAGAAGATCGGAAAACTCTTGCCAGAGCGATTTCAAGTAATTAACGTTGATGTCATGAAGAGCAAGTTGCACGGCTTTTAAGTGCTAAGACTAAAATTTCAGGAAAATAGGAGCATGAACAACGTATTCGAATCACATTTAAATGAAATAGTTCACTTTTAACATGGGGTTTTGAACTGGAATAGCAGTTCCGTAGCTTTAGCTGTGCAGACAAGCACAAATCAGGAGCTTTTACGGCCTAACGATCACCCTAGGCAAAGATATTCCATTTCTCGTCCCGAACAAAGGTGACTTGCTGAGGAATGTGTGCCTTGCAGAGGTCATTTTCCTCTTTTAAAACTGAAGAATTCTTCATATATTAAAATATTTAAAATACTTTTTTATAAAAAGTTTTTATAAAAAAATGATCTTTGCTGATCATTTTGAGCATAAAAAACGTAAATCCATTGCAAAATACTAATTTTGTGAAAGTGAACTATTCCCTT